CACGTCAGCCTACTTCCCCCTTACATCCAAACCACAAGCCAACTGCCTCGTCACCGCCCGCCATCCATGACTCGCCCTGCATCGGAGCCGATCATTGACCCCGAAAAGATTATGAGCCATCGGATTCAACACCCTACTGGAGTCAGGAGGATCTAACTCCTCGTTCGCTAGAAGGACCGCACGCCAACTGAGGAGAGCTGGGTGCCCCTGGCCAACATTGAAAACCACCCTGCCCTGCAAGTGTACCTGAGAAGTTGGGGTTTTTGTGATATACATGCACTCGAGTAGTTGAGGGGGCTTCTTGAGAGGGGGGGGGGGGGGGGGGGGGGGGGGGGGGGTAGTGTAAGGAATTTCCTCGGCATTCCTTAGCGCATACTGCAACATCCCGTACAGCAGCAGCCGTTGTTCGCCCGTTACTGCTAATGGGGCTTCGCCGACTTCGCATGCACTGTTTCACCAAACCATGCACCGCTGGCCCGGCCGTGTCAGCCTACGCTTCGGGACTAGCCCGAGCCTCGATGCCAGCCTAGCACTAGCTAGCTCGCACGCACAGCGTTACCGTTTGCATGTTTCGCGTATAAATGATCGCTCATGCCTTCGCTCACATTTTGTACTTGTTTGACACTTAGTGCAATCCTCGCTACCTCGATTCATTGCACCCGTAACAGCAACCCAAAACGCATCTATGAGTTGATATCCCCAAAGCGTGAAACTAGATGTATAGGGTTGCTACGCATCACTAGAAGGACGTGTACCGCCGTAACATCCAAACCTCCTAGTTTGAAGAGGTGGCCTCGCTTGGCCGTCGCGAACCTTCAGCAAGCGATGGTTCGTGGCGCTGGTTGATGCCTCGCCAAACCTGAGTTGCTCAACGGTTCCCACACCACCGCGAGATTCTTGTCCGGGGCTTCCGCCATGCCACCACAACCACACCGTAGGAGCAGGAATCCGATGGTTGCGTGGGGCAAGGGGAAAGGCGGAACCAGTTCCCCCTGCTATGTAATTTGCTTTGCTTGCTGGAATTCCCCAACAGACCTCAACAAGCAAGAAAGGCAAGAGGTGAGCAGGCAGATGGAACCCTAACTTGAGACAAGCCTAGCTAGTCTCTTGGCAGAGAAGCAGCAGGATTCGAGTTGAAAACGGAATTTTCCGTTGCTGCTGCTCACTGGCTTGCCACATCCACGAGACTATCCTCTCGTAGCTCCATCCCACTGCACTCACCATTGGCTCGCGCACGTGTTCTCGCTGTCGGCGTGCAGCATGTCAACGCCGTCGCGGAAGCGGTTGATGCGCGATTTCCGCCGGCTGCAGAATGATCCCCCAGGCGGAATTATTGGTGCTCCGCAGGACAACAATATTATGCTGTGGACGGCGATGATATTCGGGTGCGTTATGGGACGGGTTGCACAGGACGAACGGCATAACTAAGAAGGCCAATAAGTTCTCGACCTGATTCGTTCTAGGATTTTTCCGTTTCAAGATCTGGGTCTAGTATTTCCACTTTATGCAGCTTCCCTTGTTGATTCATTAGTCCCGTTCGCCCTTTGATTTGTGTGCATTCGTTCTATGTGGTTGATTTACAATCCCCTTCTTTTCTTTTTGTTCCTCACCACACGCTGTGCTGGGATTGATATGTGTGCCGTGTGTATGGCGTGGGACATTGATGGCCCCTTTTGCCTATTTCGGTTGCTCTCGGCATGCTGTGGCGGCCTGTCGTTGCTTGGGACGCGGAGGGCGCCGGGCCTTGTCGCTGCAGGCCGGACGATACACCGTGGGACGGAGGTACGCATTCTCATCCTTTGCCGTTCTGGTATGGTTGAGGGGATTTGTTTGTGTTCTTAGGCAGTTGCCATCGTGCCTTCATCCTGATCAGGCGCCGTTGTCGTCCTTATGTGGATCGCCCTCTCGTCCCGCCACTTACATGGATGTTCACGTCTTGTTGGCTCGGACTCTGTTCCGATCGTGTTCTATCAGTACGGAACCTCCGACGGCGTTGTTTGACGAACCTCGTTTGTCCTCCAAACCAAACTATTGCAGTTTGGAAGCCGAATATGTGTTTGCACTCTGTTGAAATTTCCGCTGCCCCCGGGGTATAGCGGATCTTGATGCTTGGGCCCTGGCCCCGGTGGTCCGCTCCCCGTCCTCCGACCTCACTCGCGTAGTCCCCACCCACCACGCCGAGGTGTCCGTGGCGTGGCAGCCAGTGCCGTGATGCTTGACGTGTTGGTTGGCCTTGCCCGCTGTAAGCTGCACGCTCAGCAGGGGACTTCGTTGGAAACCGTGTGTACACGCAGGATGGGCGTATTAGAGCGCGCGCGTGTGTGGGGATAAAGGGAGGGTGTGGGTGTGTTTAGTATGTGGTCCTTCATGGCGTGGGCCGCATGATCTCCTCCTTCGTTGTTCGCCTCTATCTACCGCCTCATCGCCACTGTTCTTTACCTCCACCTCTTGCTTTTTGTACAAGTAAACAGGCATCTTGTAGTTGTCCCGTTTTATGGAACCTCAGCGCACAAGGTGAATAAGTGCCGCCTTGGAACTCGCGCCCCCTGCAGGCACGTTTAAACTGACGCTTCAGTTCTCCGAGGACTACCCCAATAAGCCCCCTGTTGTGCGGTTCGTCACCAAGATGTTTCATCCCAATGGTTCGTCACACATTCCGCCTTCCCTCTCGCGGAACCACCCATCTCCCTCTGTCCCTCCCTCCCTCCTCTCTCTCTCTCTCTCTCTCTCTCTCTCTCTCTCTCTCTCTCTCTCTCCCTCTCCCTCTCCCTCTCCCTCCCGTCCCCTCTCCCTCTCCCTCCCGCACCCTCTCCCTCTCCCTCTCCCGCTCCCTATCCCCATCCCTATCCCTCCTCCTCCCTCTCCCCCTCCCCCTCCCCCTCCCACTTCCGCTCCCCTTCCGCACTCCCTGTCCCTTTCCCTCACCCTCCCCCTCCCCCTCCCCCTTCCCCTCCCACTTCCGCTCTCCCTCTCCCTCCCCTTCCCCTTCCCCCTCTCACTCCCCTTCCCCTTCCTCGGCCTCCCTCCCCCCCCTCCCTCTCCTCCCCCCGCTCCCCCTTACCCTCCCCCCTCTTCCTCCCCCTCCCCCTTTCTCTCTCTCTCTCTTTCTCTCTCTCTCTCTCTCTCTCTCTCTCTCTTTCTCTCTCTCTCTCTCTCTCTCTCTCTCTCTCTCTCTCTCTCTCTCTCTCTCTCTCTCTCCTTGTTCCATTCGTCCCTATTCTTGCTCCATTTAGTATTAGTCTCGCCACCTGAGATTGTTATTGATTTATTGCGCACGTCTCATCTCTATGCTGTCGCATGCCCTTGTTTCTAGTGCAGTGTATGCGGATGGAAGCATTTGTTTGGACATTTTGCAAAACCATTGGAGTCCAATTTACGATGTTGGAGCAATTCTGACTTCCATTCAGGTATCTGGTGCCCCATTAGTGTTTTGCCTGTTCATGACTCTCGTGTTTGTGACATGCATTAATAATGAATTTCATTATTTTCTTTTGGGTGGCAAATTCTTGGAACGGGCATTGTCATTCTAATTACATGCTACATTGCAAACTGGTCTTCTAATTTCTGGCTGTCATCCTGTGGGGAGGCATTTATTTTCTGTTCTTGTACGTGTAACCTTTTTTTTTTTTACATCACGTGAGTTGCTGAGGCCCATTGCACGGCTGGCAATTTTATACAGACCTGTCTGTGCAAGCGGGAGAGCTGTCCAGTGTCTTCTTTCCTTTCTGCTCCTTTGCTGTTCACCCTCCTAGCTGTGCTTGTTTGGTGATAACCCTTTCATTCTCTCTCTCTCTCTCTCTCTCTCTCTCTCTCTCTCTCTCTCTCTCTCTCTCTCTCTCTCTCTCTCTCTCTCACTTACTCACTCTCCTCCCCTGCTCTCCCGCTCCCCGTCTCTCTTTCTTTTCCCCTTCTGTTTCTTGTGCCCTCTCTCCATCTCCACCCTGTTCCCCTCACCCCCTTCCTCACCCTCATGCTTAGTCCTGCGCTTGCATAACCCAACCTCCTTGTGCGTACCCTCAAACCTCTTGACATTTTCATGTCTCCCACCTTACCCTCAACCTTATAGCATTTTTATGTCTCCCACCTTATGCACTCTGCATTCTTTTGTTTACATCCTCTGCCCCGTTTGTGCTGCAGTCTCTTCTGTGTGATCCGAATCCCAATTCTCCTGCCAATTCCGAGGCGGCTCGTCTGTACAGTGAAAATCGGCGTGAGTACATTCGGCGGGTTAGAGAGGTTGTGGAGCAGAGCTGGACAGCAGATGTGGGCGAGTGACAGCAGTTGGGGCCGAGCTGTATTTACAGGCACAGCACTTCTGCTATTTCGGTCTCCTGGCCATGTAGACGTGGTCAGGATTGCTGTTTGTGTAGGCTTGCGATAAATTACCTAGCTTAGTATTGGTTCTTTCGGGGTTAACAGTTAGTGTCCACAGTAGTGCTCATAGCCAGTCTGCAGGGGACCTGTGTGACTACATGATGTAGCATTTGATGAGCTGACAGAAGCCACGTTTTCAACTGGCAGACGTGTATGGTATGGCTGGCTGTTTATACTGTTTTGCTGTTTATGGATCATTCCCCTAATCCCCCTGGTGGCATCCACTATACTGTCACAGCTCTTGGACAGAGCAGGTGTTCTACTGCACGACTTCGAAACTCAGTCTGAATAGATCTTTGTTGACAAAATGGTAAAACTTGCTTCATACCAATCAGACTTGTAGTGCCATATTGTCAGCCTTGGTTTGGGCATTGGGGGATGTCACCAAAAATTGAGCAGGGTGTTTGGTGCTTGCTAGGGTTGTTATGGTACATTTTTCCCAAATTTTCACTTAACACTTTTGAGGAGCACAATTGGACTTTCAGCAGCTTGTGCTTCGAGACTGGTAAGGTCGATCCACGCAATCCGAAATTCGGGCTGCGGGCTCTAACAAATACATTCTGCATGCATGAAGACACCATAGTTCAAGTGGTGGTGGAATGCCCCCCAATAGACTTTAAATGCTCTCAATCTGCACCATCCGAGCTACTATAAGTGATGCTGCAGGATGCTGCCTGATGTTGTGGCAACATGCCTGCGTACACATAGCGTAACAGTTGATATGGCGGAGCAAGGGTGGTGGAAGTGGGAGTCAACGATGACTATATTTTGGATGTGCGAAAGAACAATGAAGGATTGGCGAAACATTTTCGGCAAAAAGTGCTAGTAAGCGTCAGAAAAGGAGGAGAAAGGAAACAAGAAATGGGTGGACACGGTGAATAAGAAAACGTGTCCCTTACTATTCCACACGCTGCTTCTCAAGTGGGCCTGTGAGCATGGGGATGCCCGCGATATCGGCGTTGGAGTACAGCAAGTAGCCGTAGCCGCCGCCAAACACCAGGATGGACGACAGTAGCACGGCGAACCAGAGCGGGCCACCAAACGACCGAGCCATGGCGCCCGACACCGCCGTCACGACCTCGTTGTCGGACCCGGAAGGCTTCGACCCTTCTATGGCCTCATCCTCAGCTGCCTGATCTAGCCCTTCGCGCTCCTCCCCTCGCGCTTCGCATGCCACGCGAAGGGTGCGGACGGAAGGTAAATAACGGCCCAGAGGAACGTGAAGCGGACGACTGGGGACTGAAAAATGCGGATGAAAGACGTCAAGCGGGGAAACGCGAGAAAACGGGCTCGATGAAGCGCGGAGGGGAATAACTGGGGCAGAGAGCATCATGCGAGGAAGAGACGGGAGAAGAGCAGAGGACCCCATGCCTGAAATACAGCAGCTAGGGTATCACTCGGCAACCAGAGAACGCACTTCCGAGTTCCGGGACTGTAAGAGCGCGCACGTGCCATTAGCGGGTATGAAGCACCAGCATCTATTCTGGGTACTAACTTGAAAAGTCCACCTTAGAGAACAAACAAGGATTGCTCTATCAAGACAAAAAAAAAAAAAACCATATTCTCCCGGATATAGAACCCTCCCGAAAGAGTCTCAGAGGTCGTATATTAAGGAAGGAGGAACACTTATAGTTTATGTTACGATAAAATATCTTTAGTGCAGTGCATTCCTGCTCGTAACAAAGAAACTAGCACTATCGAGTACGAATGTGAACAATCAAAGTGAGGCGAAACGTCGCGCACAGTTGGGAGCATCTGGACCGTCAGCGGCAGAAGCATCGGGCAGTCACTGTCAAACCTAATGTGCATATTTGTAGGCTGTAGTGGGGTAGCACATATAGAGTACAACACTACCAGGGTTAGGTACTTGTACGTGCTTTCCTGACTAGTCACATTCATTCCAGTCTGATAGTGTCTAACATGGTATACAAAGCAGTAGGTCCGTAGGACCATCTTTTTTTTCCGAGCCCACCATTCACTGCGGTTACAGTGCTACCTCACGTCCTGCACTACGTTGCGCTGCTTGTGTGCGCCCTGTGAAAATAGTTCTTAGTATGTAGGCTTAGAAGCCATTGTAAGTTGGGTAGGAGTGATTGAGCTCGAGTGAGTTTAGGAAAGTCGAGAGGTTTCAACAAAAGAGAGAGGGTTTTCACTATAGAGCGAGCAGTACAAATAGGCAAGAAGAAAGGTGCACCACCAAACAGAACATTATATAACTACAGTAGTCTACACTACATGCAGTTACAAAACAATATATAGAATTATATATTATTCTGACACGCCCCCAGAAGTGCCTGTAGGGAAGAATACGCAGTCAACGCCCCCATAATGGGGTACACCAGACAGGTCGCAGCGGAAATCATAGCAACAGGCAAGTGCAGTGGCAACCGGTGCAGTAATGGCAGATCCAGCTGTACCAACCCCTTTACCAAGGTAAAAACAGTAGCAGGTGTTGGGGCGGCAGGTCGCCTGAGGAGCAGGCTCTGTGGGTGCAACATGCAGCAGGACAGCAGCGGCTCGACGGCAGCACCTGCAGGCCCCAGCAGTAGGTAGGAGAAACAAAGACAACAAAAGGTAGGTGGTAGCAGGGGCGGCAGCTGGAGGTGCCACGGCAGCAGCGGGCGTCAGCAGCAGATGACCGGCTGACTTCCGTCGCCCCCTCACTCCCCCCCCACAGCGGCACGTGCGGCAGTGAGAGAGAGAGGAGGGGCGGCAGCTTCTTGCTCACACCCGCCTCCCCAAAACCTCCCCCCCACACTGCTGCACGTGCAGCAGGGAGAGAGAGGGGACGGTTTGTGGCGGCGCAGCGGTGTGGCGCAGCAGCGAACAGAGGGGCGTCAACCACCCTCGCGCCTCCCCCTCCCCCCCCCCCACCCCCCCCCCCCCCCCGCCACACCTTCGTCCACAGCGGAAGACACGGCAACGGGCTCGGGTGGCGTTGGTGAGATCTCGGGTAGGGGGGGGGAGTCACGGTGGGGTGCAACAGGTGCCGCGACGAGCGCCTGCGCACAGCTCGCCGTCGCTTGCGTGGCAGCTGCAGTGGTAGCAGCCGCATGTTCGACGGGAGGGCGGGGCAGGGGGCGCGTTCGGCGACTTAAGTAGCTCGGCCGCCACACCCGCCGTCTCCCCCCAAAGGGACCGTCGATGCAGACGCTCGGGGCCGCGACAGGGCGTGACGAGGTTGCAGGAGGGCGCGAAGGGCAGGCGACTGGGCCGCCGACTGGGGCCGCGACGAACAGCACTAAGCCCGCCACGCTCGACTTCGTAACCTTCACGAATAGCGGCTGAACGGGCACTTTTGGGGCCGCGACGAGCGCCATGGCAGGAACGATAAGCGGTGGGCCCATGGGAAAAAAAAAAATCAGGTCCTAGGATAGGAACCTCACTCTGATAACATGTGAAAATAGTTCTTAGTATGTAGGCTTAGAAGCCATGGTAAGTTGGGTAGGAGTGATTGAGCTCGAGTGAGTTTAGGAAAGTCGAGAGGTTTCAACAAAAGAGAGAGGGTTTTCACTATAGAGCGAGCAGTACAAATAGGCAAGAAGAAAGGTGCACCACCAAACAGAACATTATATAACTACAGTAGTCTACACTACAGGCAGTTACAAAACAATATATAGAATTATATATTATTCTGACACGCCCTGCCCTGCCCTGTCCTGCGCTGTGCCACTGGCTGCAGCCTGTGTGTTCCCCACTTGCAGCCCGCGCGGCCCGCGCCCTGCCTTTGCCCGCGCGTCGCAGGTATGGCGACGGGGCCGGGGTCGCAAGGGGGGCGACGGGGCCAGGGTCGCAAGGGGGGCGACGGGGCCGGGGTCGCAGGTAGGGCGACGGGGCCGGGGCGCAGGTAGGGCGACGGGGCCGGGGCGCAGGTAGGGCGACGGGGCCGGGGCGCAGGTAGGGCGACGGGGCCGAGGCGCAGGTAGGGCGACGGGGCCGGGGCCGTAGGTAGGGCGACGGGGTCGCTAGGGCGACGAATCAGGGGCCGCTAAGGCGGCGCGACTTGGCCGCTAGGGCGGCTCGACGAAGTCAGAGAAGGGAGCGCGACTCGGGCTGAGTGCGCTCCGGGCAGGAAAAAAAACTTTCGACTTGGTGGGCCCTAGGCACAGTTCCCACGAGGGAACCTGCTCGATACCATGAGAAAACTGAAACGAGAATGAATGCACTAAGGAATGGAATGTGGTACAAATATGCAACCCTAGAAATGTGTACCCTATATAGGCTACCCCACTACAGCCTACAAAACATTATGATTTGACATAGCCTACATAGAACTAGCACATATATAATTTGACACACCCCCATATGCAAAGTGGGGGAGAACAAGGGGTCATAGGACAAGTGAAGTAAAGCAAAGCAAGCTTAGGGTGGATCACAATGTCACCACACACTCCGAGCACCAGCAAAAGGCCACAAGGCCAGTTCACATGCAGAGGTATATATGCAACAACAACAGTACAATAATTACTACCAAGCAAGAGTAAACATGCAGGTATATATAGATAGATCACATTACAACCAAAGTCTACAACAAGTGCGGAAACGTAGGCACGAGGCCTAGAGCAGTGCAGAAGCGCTGATGATCACCAGCCGGAAGGGCCTTGGTGAGCACATCAGTCGTGTTCGCTCGAGTGGGCAAGTGAGCGACACGAAGCTGACCACGCTGCTGCATCTCTCGAGCAAGGAAGTAACGCAGAGCGATGTGCTTCGTTCTGTGCTCCAGTCTGTGCTCCTGACACAAGGCAATGGCAGCCTTGTTGTCGACGTACAGAACTGGAGGAGAACGAGGCCTCTCTCCCAAGTCGGTCAGCAGGTAGGTGAGCCAACGTAACTCTTGTGCAGCCATGGCTGTGGCATAGATCTCAGCCTCACAACTAGAGCTGAGAACAGAAGACGAGCGTGTAGACCGCCAAGAAATAGAGCCAGAGCCAAGGCTCAATGTGTAACCCTGTGACGACCGCTGCGTAGCGAGGTTGTCAACCCAAGAAGCGTCAGAGTGCCCAGTGAGGACAACTGGACTCCGCCCTCCAAGCATGAGCCCCATGCCCCATGTACTGCACAAGTAGCGCAGTACCCTCTTCACAGCATCCATGTGCACCTTTCCGTGCCTACCAGGAGCCACGTAGCGTGCCAGAAGGCCAAGAGGGTACGCAAGGTCAGGACGATTGCATGTCATCAGGTACATGAGGCAGCCCACTAGCTCTGGGTACGGACCACTCGGCTCTACGGACTCGTCCGAAGGTAAAGCTGAGAACGAATGACCTGTAGCCAGAGGAGTGGACTGTGGCGAGGACCAAGTGAAGCCGAAGCGCTGAAGGACCTGCTGCACAATGTGTGACTGGGTTAGTGTAATGGTGCACCGTGCTCTATCTCAAATGATCTGCAGGCCAAGGTAGCTGCGCAACTCACCCAGGTCTGTGCATGTGTATCTTTTCGGCAGCGCCTTCACAAGGGTGAGAGCCTCAGTGTCAGCAGTGGGAAAGACCAAGTCCTCGACGTACACGAGGATGTAAAACGGCGGCAACGAAGTGTCGGTGCGCAGAAACAACGACGGGTCAGCAGTTGAAGGTGCAAACCCAAGAGCTGCAAGCGTCGTCCTCAGTGTGCCGTGCCACTCACGAGGCGCCTGACGGAGACCGTAGACTGGCCGGCGGAGGCTCCACTAGGTACGAGGAAGGACCGACCCAGTGAAGCCAGGTGGGCGGCGCAGCCTGATCTCCTCGTGCAGACTGCTCTGTAAGAATGCAGTGCTGAAGTCCAGGGAGTGAAGCTCGTAGTCACGCTGAGCGGCAACGTGAAGCAACACCCGAAGAGTGGTCATCTTCGGGGTTGAGGAGAAGGTCTGGAAGAAGTCAACTCCCTGTCGCTGACTAAAGCTTTGTGCAACGTAACGAGCCTTGAAGACAGGCGGAGAGCCCGGCGGCCGCTTCACCCTGAAAATCCACATGCCATCTACTACGTTCGCCCAAGGAGGGGGAACTGCGTCGACGTAAGTGCCTGTGGACTTCCAGGATGCCATCTCTGTGTCCATGGCTGTCCGCCACTAGGAGGAGTAATCACCCGCGATCTCCTCAGCGTAAGAGCGCGGGGTCGGAATGTCTGGAGTATCCGGGTCTCCATTAGGGGCAAGCAACATGGCCACGAGATGAGGCGCAGCGGCTGCAAGACACTCAAAGTCCTCGTGCCTATCCTCAAGGATGTCCATGCCAAGAGCACACTTACCCCCGACGGACGGAGGACAGACAGACTCAGACTCAGCAACAAGACTAGCAGCAAAGTCGAGAGGACAAGCAACAGCGAAGTCGACAAGCTCAGAGACTACGGTAGACGCAG